CCGCCCCCCCCCCAGTTTCACCCCTTTATGTGATCACATCTCTGTCTGATCTTGGCAGACAACCTGGGATTTGCTTCTTGCTTTCGTGTGGCTGAAGCCGCTGGTGGCTCCCAGCCCTGGCTCCCCGGAGAGGGTTTCCCCTTCCCCGTGGGCCAGGGGCAGTTCATTCCCGCAGCAATGTGGTTTTTTGTTTGGTGGTTGTTTTTTTTTCCCCTCACCTTTCCAGCCCGCATTAGTCTCGGCCAGGATCCCTGCGGATACGGAGATGCTGTTCTACCTTACCTTACATTTCTTTCTTTGTGTGGATTATCTGCAACTTCTAAATTGCCTTAAAGAGCCCAGTTTTAGCTGCTAGATCAACGCTCCTAGCGCTGCTCGGGAGCAGAGTGGCGCCTGCTGGCCACCTCGCGAATAGGTGACTGTCCCCAAGCCCGGCCAAGGTCCCTGCGCTGAGGTGGTCCAGATTTGGTGGCTGCTGGCCCAGGTTTGGTGGCCAGCTGGATACGAGGGAGTTCACTGTTTCAGGGTGCTAATCTGAATTTGGACGGGGGTCGTTTGCCCAGCATTATCCTCATCTCTCCTCGGTTTTTGTTTGTTTTTTTTTTTTTACCCCCCTGCACCTTAATTGAGTTAAAACCATTTTTTTGTTTGTTTGTTCGTTTTTTTCCTCTTTTCCTTTTTGATCCTTAAAGAGATGTTTAAAGGGGAAGCGTTGGGGATGTAGCTGCCTGCCGAGCCCGGGTGCTCGCTGCGTCTGAGTGGGCCCCATCTCCCATCGAGAAGCGCGGGGTGGTTTTAAGGGTGTCAGGGTTGGTTTTTTTTGGGGAGGTGTTTCACTTTTTGTTTTGAGAGGGACGCAGAGATGAGCCTTCCCCGTACCCCAGCCTGGGCCCTCTGTGCCACAGACCCCTGTGCAAAGCCCTCGGCTCCCCATCGCTGCCCCGGCCCTCGAGCTGAGCCTTCTCCGCTCTCCCCTGCCCTCTTGCAGTGCGTTTCAGCCGCTCTCATCGCCTCGTTCATCCCCTTCCCCATTCCTCGGTGGTGATGTTTCTCTTTTCCATCTCTTGCAGCTTGTCCTGGGATGGGGGAAGCTCCTTGCCAACCCAATGAGGTTTCTCTTGGCTTTTTTTATCCTCCCCCCAATGCCTTTTTCTTCCCACAGCCAAGGCTGGAGCATGGAGGGAAGGAGGATCCCTGCTGCCTGCATCTCCTGGTACCCAGATGATGGAGATGCTGTGGTACCCACGACCGGGGCTGCTCCTTCACCTTCGGGCACCCCGTCCCGCGGACCGGGGATGCCTTTTCAGTGCTGCCTGGCTGGGTCCCTCCCTGGGGCTTTGCAGGGTTGGGGGTGCCGCTGCTTCCCCCGGGGGGTGCAAAGCTCCTTCGTGGGGATGGGAGGAAGACGGGAGGGATGCTCGTGGCTTGATCGCCCTCTTCTTTTCCCCTCTGCCTCCTTGCCCTTTGACTATTCCTCTTTCTCACCCTGCCCGGTCTCCTCCTGGGCTGTTGCTGGGTCGCTCGCTCTCCCCGCAGCTTTTTTGGGATCACCTGCCTCGCAGGGACCCCTCCACCATCCCTCAAACTTCATGGAGGGGGGGGACTCACGCCTGGCTCAGCGAGCCGGGATGGGCGTCTGCAGGGAGGGAGCAAAAGCACGTCCCCCCTTCCACGCCGGGGACCCCTGCACTTGGGGGTCGCGGTCCCCCCCCTCCCCATCCACGTTGGGGGCTGACCTCGGCGTAAGGGCTCCATCTCTGTATAAGCCATGTCGGGGGGTGGGGGGGAGCCCGGGGATGGCGGGGGGGGGAAAACGGCGGGCCGGGAGGGAGAGGTTTATTTTGTATATGAATGATTTTTAATGAATGCAATATTAATCCTTGCAGATGAGCAATAAATCATTAAAGTCTAATTAAACTATTAGGAAAAACGAAGCGCTGTCGCTTGTGGGCGGTTTATTTTGGAAGAGAGAGTGCATGCAAGCCCTTGGGGACCCCGAGTTGTGTCCGAGCCCAGGGCCTGGGCTGGGATCTGCCTTTGGCCACCTCGAGCTGGGCTTCGGGCCCCACTGGGACCCCAAGCTGATCTCCAGGGCCCTGGATTTTGGGGTCTGACCCCCTCTGGGCCCTTTCACTTGGGGTTTAAACCCCATCAGGTCCTTCTGGGGTCTGGCCTCCCCCTGAGCCCTGTCGAGGTCTGAGACACCCCCCCAAGCCCCTTGAATTGCGGAGTCACTTCTGGGCCCCTCAGTTTGGGGTCTGGCCCCCGGCAGCCCTGCCCCTTCCTGCCACTCCCAACATGGCGGCCGCAAGCGGCCGGGCCCCGCCTCCCCGGGCCAAAGGAGGGCGGGAGTG